AGGGCTTCAAATTCCAGTCAGTCCAATCTCTTAAATACTGCATCAGTTGTGCCCTAAAAATACCTTTGACAAAATTCACTACCCATTCTTTTTTTAAAAAAATAGTAAATTCTTAGTAATGGGGATAGAATAATTTCTTAATCAAATCTTCCTTAAACTAATACCAACTTCAAACCTACTAGCAAATCACTGTAAGTATCCCCACTGTATTCAAGAATAAGAATCGGGGCGCCTGGGTGGCGCAGTCGGTTAAGCGTCCGACTTCAGCCAGGTCACGATCTCGCGGTCCGTGAGTTCGAGCCCCGCGTCGGGCTCTGGGCTGATGGCTCGGAGCCTGGAGCCTGTTTCCGATTCTGTGTCTCCCTCTCTCTCTGCCCCTCCCCCGTTCATGCTCTCTCTCTGTCCCAAAATAAATTAAAAAAAAAAAAAAAAAAAAAAAAGAATAGATACTCTGATGGCTATTTTTCGGCACTTTCTTGGAATTTCTAATTAATACACATAATGCATAAAAATAAGAAACTACAATTATAATTATATTCAAAAACATAAAACTATTACTTACAGATTATACAATTGTAGTTTTAAGTTTTGTGGTTTTTTTTTTTTTTTTTTTTTTTGAGAGAGAGAGAGAGGGAGGCAGAAAGTAGTGGAGGGGCACAGAGAGAAAAGGAGAGAGAAAGAGAATCCTAAGCAGGCTCCACACTGTCAGTGGAGAGCCAGATGCAGGGCTCAAACCCATGAACAATGAGATCATGACCTGAGCCCAAACCAAGAGTCAGATGCTTAACCGACTGAGCCATCCAGACACTCCTCTACAATTGTTCTTTTTTATTCTACAATTATTTAATTAACAAAGCTAAGCAAATTACCTGAGATATCATACTAGACTAAAACAGCAAGGTTGCTTTTTTGTTTGTTTTTTTTAAATGTTTATTTTGAGAGAGAGAGAGAGAGAGAGTGTGAGCAGGGGAGGGACAGACAGAGAGGGAGAGAGAAAATCTAAAGCAGGCTCCTCACTATCACCCCAGAGCCTGACACAGGGCTTGAACCCAGGAACCATGAGTTCATGACCTGAACCAAAACCAAGAGTCTGACATCTGACTGACTGAGCCCAGGAGCCCCTAAAATCACAAGTTCTATGAGATGGTTTATAAAAAAATGAATGAAAAATAAAAATTAAATAACTACTTATTTTCATATTCATCATTCTATATCTTAGCAAGATAGAAAATTATCTAATTCACATTACCGACAAAATTATACAATACTCAGGAATGAATAGGATAAGGAATGTACTAGAACTATATAAAAAAATCAATAAAACTAGCTTGAAAAGCAAAAAGGACAATCAAATAAGTTGAAAGGCATATTTTATTGCTGGATGGTAACAATGTATATTACAGAGATATCATTTTTCCAAATTATTTCACAAGAAATGAAATTGGAAGTAAAATTGACAAAAAAAATTGACAAAGCAAGTGAAATTGACACTATGATTTTTAAGTTTATGTGGAAAAATACACTGGTAAAAATAATTTTGAAATATAAAAGTAATAAAAAATAACTAGGCCTAGTAGATGTTGAAATTTACTACAAAATGAAAATAAGCTTGTCACTGAAGGATTGATAGCTGTCTCAGTGAAAGAAATCTTAAAGCAGCAGGTAAGAGAATGTTTGCTATTTCACAAAAATTCTATACAGTCACTGGTTAGCTATTTAGGAGAAAAATTATATTCTCATCTCACTTCATATGACAAATTCCAGTTTGTAAAAAAAGACATCTAGAAAACAATATGTAAGTAAGCATCTGACTTCTGGATAGGCTTAAAGCAATTTTTTAAAACCTCAACAAAATAAGATTGATAGATTTGACAAAATAAAAACAATTAATTTCTATAAATTAATGTGCAATGAATAATAGGATAAACAGACTAAAAATGTGGAAATAAACATCTTAAAATGTACTAGTTCCTTATATATGAAATGATTATAAAATTTTGTAAGAAAAAATCTCTAAATATAAAAAATTTGAACAGATAATTTCAAAGAATAAAAATATAAATAACAAATGAACGCTTTAAAGAATTCAACCTACAGTAATCAACAATGCAAGATAAAATATGATTAAATTTAAAAATTCTCAAAAAATTACATTTTATTTTTTCTGGAAAGGTAAAACACGGTTGAATAACAAAACAATACGAAAAGGTATTCAGTTAGAAATTGTGCCGGGATTCTTTTCCCTGTCTATTCTATATTCTCTCCACATTCTTCTTTTTATTTAAACAACCTTTTGTATTAGCTCCTGTGAATTCTTGAAAGTTTCCTAATGAAATGCAAGCAAATTGAAAAGCATATACTTATATTCCCATATTCCCTAAATAAAATTAAAAAACAACTAAAAATTTGCATGAGGTTGAATATTTTTAATGAATTGAAAGACTATTTCTTGTTACATACACTACTTGTATTTCTTGCAAACTGTCTATTCATTATCATTATCTTTTTCCATTGTTCTATTGTTTTTATTTCTCCCCAACCCCACAGTTTCTAAAATATATTAGAGAAACAACTCGTGTTGATTGCAGAGGTAAATACTTTTCCCCAGCTTATCATTCTTCTTTAGAATTTCTCCAGAGTTGCTGTTTTTTGATTTTGTTGTCAACCAAAGGATTTAGTGAGTCAGATTTGTCTCTTTTTTTCTCTCTTTTAGATGTTAGAATCGAATCATAGTTAGAAATCTTTCCAGTTACATTTTTTGGGGTTTTCTAAGTATTAAGTCATCTACAAATAACAGTTTCTCTTGTCTAGCTTTGTTGATTAATAACTCTGGCATACTATTACAAATAGGTGTGAGAGCTGTGCGCCCTTATCTTGTTTGTCTTTTAGCAGAAATAGCAGAAGTGCCTCTAGCGTTTTGCCATTAATTATTTTTCTGTCTTTGGGCTGAGTTTGTGTGTGTATGAATGTGTGAGTGCATAAATAGTTTGTCATGGTTACAAAATGTTTAACTCTTACCGTATTGAGTTATCTCTTTTTTAAAAAAAAAACATCCAGAATGGCTGTTGAATTTTGTTAAATGAACACTCAGCATCTATAGAGATTAACACATAATTTTTTCCTTAGATTAATTAACATGATGAATTATTTTTAGTAGAGTTCATCATTTTTCATTCCTGGAATGATCTCTCCTTCATCATGATATATTACTCTTTGAATGAGTTGCTGGAGTCTTTCTCCTGATAATTTTCTGAAGAGTTTGCATTCCTATTTATAAAAGAAAGCATGAATAGTTTTCTTCTTGTGAAATTTTGACCAACCTCAGGTGTCAATGATATTATGACTTCATGAAAATAATTTAAAGTTTGTATTACTCTGAAAGGGGTTAAATCATACTTCTTTAAAAAATCATCAGAAAGAATATAATACACAAATGAGGAATATCATAATATCTAGTTAATAGTTAATATCTAGAGTACAACTTTAAGAAGATGCATGTTGCTGGGGCGCCTGGGTGACTCAGTCAGTCAAGTGTCCAACTCTTGATTTCAGCTCAGGTCGTGATCTCAAAGATCATGAGTTTGAGCCCCACATTGGGCTCTGCACTGACAGCATGCAGGCTGCTTGGGATTCTCTCTCTCCTCCCCTCTGCCCCTCCCCTGCTTTCTCTCTCTCTCTCTCTCTCTCTCTCTCAAAACAAATAAATAAACTTCAAAAAATTAAAAATTAAAAAGACACACATTGTTATATTTAAGGTAGCATATAAGAGTAAAATAAGATTAATTAACAAATTAATAGAGGAAAGGGATAATAAAAAGTTGATTAATCCACCCAAAGGCAAGAAAGGAGGAAAAAGCTACATACAGAGATGGGTCAAACAAGAAACCATAGTTGGATGGTAGATATAAACACAACCATATCAGTGATTATTTTAAATGAAAATGGACTAAACACTCTGAAAAAGACTAAGATTGTCAGGTGGAATTCAAAACAAAAATGTAAAACACAGCCACATGTTGTTTACAAGAGATGCACCTGTAACATGAGGACAAAGACATGCTGAAGGTAAATGGAAGGGAAAATATAGATCATGCAAATATATTGGAAAAAGCAGATGTTAAGCCAAATAACTTTATTAGAAAGACAGGAGGGTATTTCATACCCCTGCAAAGCTCCATCTACCAGGGGGATATCACAATCTAAAAGATAACCCTCTAAAAACCATAGCTTTAAATTTTATAAAGAAAATGAATAGAACTAAAGAAAAAACAGGCAGATGTCCCATTACTGTGGGTGATTTTAAAATATCTCTCTTACAAGTTAATAGATTGACAATAAAATAAAAATTCAGGAATGATAGGGTAGGTCTGAAAAAAAAAAACAAATAATAATAACTTGATCTACCTGACACGTACCCAACAGTGGCAAAATTCACACTTTTTTTTAAGTTACTCCTGGAATATTGGCCAAAATTCACCATATGCTGGGCCATTAAGCAAGTCACTACAAAATTAAAAGGACCAAAATTATTCAATGTTTCTTCTCTGATAGAATTCTGGCTGCAAAATCAATAACAAAAAAGATAACCAGGGAATTTTTAATTGCTTGAAAATCGAGCAGTATGTTTTGTGAGTAACAAGTGAATCAGAGGAGAAATCCCAATGGAAACCAAACAATAAAGAAATGAAATCATCATCAGGCACAGAAGAAGTATTCCATTAAGGAGTGGAATTCCAGGCAAGCAGGAGGAAGTGAAAATGGGAAAGAAGCAGGAGCGGGGAGAAAGCCAGCAAAAGGGCTACTGTGAGGCTGGCCATTTCTAAGTGCGCACAGTGACAAAAACCGCACCTTCGTGGTTATTCACAGGCGGAGAAAAGGGCAAGAATTTGTTACTAACCGCTGAATCACACTACTCAGGATGAGCTACAGAGCCTGTTAATTTGTTCACATTTTCATGTCAGGAGGAAAGTCCAGGCAAGAAGTCCATGACTTGGCCCCACCTGGCGGCATGCACCTTGGGAAGTCCCTCGGAGTTTTTAAGAGGTGGTTCATGCATCTCTTCTGAGCTCCTCAGCTTCGTCACTGGAACCTGCCACCAAGTTACACAGCCCCCCTTCCATCCAATTGCATTCCACTCCTTTGTGAAAGATGTGTTCTGTGAGATCTGTTACCAGTGGAACAAAAAATCTTTCTCCATTTCTTACAGCAATGACTTCCTGCTGGAGCTTAGTTCCCACTGGGAACAGGGTTCTTTCCTTGTTGGACTACTTATCTGCCTGGGACTACTGACATTTGCAACAGGGCCCCTCCCATACTGCCATTCCTCTGTGTCACTCGGCAGGGCTTCCTGCACAAATTCTGCTGGCCTCAGTTGCTTTCGCCTACGCTGACACATGTTTTGGATTTTATGGCTTTTCATTGTCTCTGCGGTTTACGATAGACTTAGTTTTGAGTCTCCCTACAATTCCATTCTATATGGTTTCTAGGAGGAAGATTACCTTTGGCCCAAACTACTGCCCTATTCATCGTGGAACCAGGAAGAATTGTTTTAAAACCGTTAAATGTCACTGGTGAGGATGCAGTGTCATTAAGGCTCATGAAATGCTGACGAAGGTATAAATTTGTACATATTTCCTGGAATATGTGTTGAGCACCGTTAAAATATTTAAGGTGTCAGACATATTAATTCTCCTCCTAGAAAATTTTTCTTAACACAATTGTTAGAAATCTGGACAGTAATTTATTCAAAAATAAATTCACACAAATATTATTTTGAATAACTACAAATTAACAAAATCATAATGGACTGTGATACATTTTTTGTCATTTTATTTATTTATTTATTTATTTATTTATTTATTTTAATGTTTATTTACTTTTGAAGGAGAGAATGACAGAGTGTGAGTGGGGGGTGGGGCAGAGAGAGAGGGAGACACAGAATCAGAAGCAGGCTCCAGGCTCTGTGCTGACAGCTCAGAGCCTGACGCGGGGCTCAAACCCACAAACCACGAGATCATGACCTGAGCAGAAGTCAGACATTCAACCGACTGAGCCACCCAGGCACCCCTATTTATTTTTTTAATTTAATTAATTTATTTTTTGAGATATAGTGAGCAAGTGAGCATGAGCAGAGGAAGGGCAGAGAGAGAGAGGGAGAGAGAGAATCCCAAGCAGGTCCTAAGCTGTCAGCACAGATGCTGACATGGGGCTTGATCTGATGAACCATGAGATCATGACCTGAGCTGAACTCAAGAGTACAATGCTTAACAGACTGAGCCACCCAGGCACCCCTTTTTTAAACCTCAGTATTATCCTCACATTAAAATAATATTAAAAATACTCACAGTATTAACACCTCACAGTATTAAAAATAATACATTACTTATGTAATGTCACAGGGAAATGTCACTGTCTGCTGTTAAAAAACAAAACTACAAGGCAAATGTTCAAACCTTTTTATATCAACTATGTAGAAAAAACAATGCAGCAAGTTGCCGATTAGTATCGGAAAAATTACTATCAGAAAAATAGTAAGAGAAAAATTTTTAAACTTGACATAAATTGAATTAAATGACGGTGACTCAAGGCCACCCTAGCCTGGAGGTTGCAGCCCTGGACAAAATAAAAAAGGAAGGGGCTTTGAGTGAACGCATGCACAGATGAGAGCCAACATAACCTGGTCTGTACCCAAATTCATCTTCCTAAGTGCATTTTTTTCTCAGAATATAAGAAAGGAAACAAAGATAATAGTAAATACTACAAGTGAGATTCAGTTAGCATAAATGTCAATGCAGCCAAAATCTCTTGAGCATAGTCTAGTATGTTTCCCAACAGATTACCCAAAATAAAAGCTACCTTCAAAGGAGCATCCCATAGAAATAAAACCTTTCTGGATCCTTGTTACAGTAACCCAGGTGCTCATTAAGGAGCATCTTAAAATTGATGGTCTGCTTTTACTATACAAATTGTAAGAGATACATCTTTATTTCTACCTAGCCTGTATTCTTCTCAACCCTCCCTCACATCAGACAAGAACAACTCTCACAGGCCTCCACAAAATACCCACACCAAAACACCTCTGTTTTGAAGTACCCCTTGGAAGCAATAACTAAAAAAATCTAGGAATCAAGGAGAATCAGAAAAACAGAAAGCACATGACACTTGGCTTATGACTTCAAAACAAATGAGGGGAGATTCCTGTTTAGTTTCTTGCATACTGCAAGAATGATTTCATTTAAAGAAAATTCCCCCGTTTCTTGCTCTGGCATTGACCATAATGGAATTTTTAAAAATGTGTTTATTCATTTTCATAAATATCTAGAAATGACAAGACATCTAGAAATTCAAAACTATGTCGCTATGGTAAGAATGTCACAAGTTCTACCTCTCAACATCCAAAATGTTCTCCTGCTGCTTCTCTGAGCTCCCAATGGTGGCAACATCTGTTATGTGTCTACCCTAAGACTATCAGTAGGTTGTTTCTTGAATATGGGGAATACTTTTTTTTTAATGCTTATTTGTTTTTGAAAGAGAGAGACAGAGCATGATCAGGGGAGGGGCAGAGAGAGAGGGAGACACAGAATCCGAAGCAGGCTCCAGGCTCTGAGCTGTCAGCACAGCCCAATGTGGGGCTCAAACCTGTGAACTGCGAGATCATGACCTGAGCTGAGGTGGGACGCTTAACTGACTGAGCCACCCGGGTGCCCCTTGAATTTGGGGAATTCTTAATAATTCTAGGAAATAGAGCGGTTTCAAGGAAGCATATGAAGCATGCTCTTCATACTTTTTCTTTCAGTTTATATTTCCTTTATTTTCTGATGGCAGAAATGACTACACAAGAGAGGAATTAGCTTTTTCCTCCTAGGATTCTTGTAGAGTTTCAATTCTTATAATCATTTTTACTTGCTCTATTGTGTATCCTGATCTGTACACATACCACAGGATTTCTTCTGAAGGAATAAATGTAAATTATAACTGAAAGTAAAAAATGAAAGGTGTGCTTTCACTTTATTCAAAAAGAAGTCAGTTCCTTGAATTTCCATTTCTGTGACATTCTTTTGTTTAATTCCTGAGACTGAATTTGACTTCACATTATTCTCAATATTTTCAAAAGTTTCCATGGGTCATTCAAAATATCTGATCTACATCATTGTCTAATTTCTTTACATTAGTGAAATCATTCAGAAATTGGGTGGTTGGATTACATATAGTGTTTAGTTTTGAGCATCTCAGTTCCTTTAAAATTAACCTAATACTATAGCAGAAGGTGAGATACACATTGTCATCTTCTTATATGCTCAGGGTAGGCAACTTTTGACCCACAGTCCAAACCTCACCCACCACCGGTTTTGTAAATAAAGTTCTATTGAGACAGAGCCACACCTATTCACGTCTATGGCTGCTTTCCAGGAATAAAGGCAGATTTGAGTAATTTCCACAGATCATTTGGCTCATAAAGGCTAAAATATTTATTATCTGGCTCTCTTCAGAAAAAAAATCTGCCTACCTTTGTAGGTACAGTGCCTCCTGTCCTCAGAAAAAACTTTAAACATTTTACGACAAACAGCATTTTCCTATAAACCAAGATGTTCATGTTTAAAAACTAAGAATGTGTGTGTGTGTGTGTGTGTGTGTGTGTGTATAAAACTTCAACCGGTTTTTCACATCTTCCTTATTATTAGTTACATTATTACATAAAAGAATCTATACTACATGATATAATTCTTAAAAACTTATTTATACAACCTCCTGTGGGCTGGCTGTGTGCTAACATTGATTTCTTTGCTTCTTCTGACAATACCAGTATGGCACATGATGAGATATTGCTTTAAAAAGCCAGATGGCAATATGCAGGAATGCATTCTGTAGGTGTCAAAGGTGGGGATTAAAAGATTTAAAATTACATATTGAATAATACTTTGGATTTATGATTACCTCCATATCTGGTCATACTAGAAAAGACAGGAAGACTCATATGGAGAAAGCCTCAGAAGTCCACGGGAATTTTTATTAATCTTTCCTAAAATCTTCAAACTCCCCCATAATGTAACTCACACCCACACTGACTAAAGCTACTTCATGTTGGAAGACAAGTAATCACACACTATTTAAAATAAACTATAATGTTTCATGCAGTTTCTCCTTAAAGTTGTTCAGTTCCCCAAACATAGCACAAAGTACATTGATGTCAAATGTATCTGTGAACTTGATACCAAGTCACTGGCCAACTCCAAGGAAGGTGCTGAGAATAAGTTACAAATAATCTGTTCTACGAGAGGAGTAGCAAAGTCTCCACTGGTACTCTCAGCAGGAAAACACAAAATCATAACATCATATTTTCAAGGGATATGTGATTTTGAAAGGGTTTGAATATGCCAACATATTGCAGCATCAGAAAACCCTAAAGTAGGTATTTCCTGTTTAAAAAAAAAAGGTAATCAAACTTATATCATTTTTAAAAGTTAAGGAGTGTAATTTCTATATTATAAAATGATAAACATCTTAACCAAAATTCAGTATGGTCCATGATATAATGGATATTTATATATTTATATTTTATACTAATAAAATTATCTCTATAGTCTCATTTTTTACTATTACTGATTTAATAAAAGTTTCACATAATTGTAAGTCAAAAGTATAACCATTTGATATACATTGCCTATATGATGGAACGTTCCTGTCTTATTTAAAATATTTATTTGGCGGAGCCTGGATGGCTCAGTCGGTTAAGTGTCAGATTCTTGGTTTCAGCTCAGGTTCATGAGTTCGAGTCCCGAGTCAGGATCTACGCTGGCAGAGCAGAGCCTGCTTGGGATTCTCTCTCTCCCCTTCTCTGTGCCCCTCTCCCTCTCATGCTGTCCCTGTCTCTCTCAAAATAAATAAACTTAAAAAAATAAATAAAAAATAAAATATTTATTCAAAACTTATCATGTATAAGGACCTAATAACTGGATTTGATCCTTAAGGAACTCACCAACCAGTGGGGGAAAAAACTGCAAACAACTAATCCTCTTAGTGTTTGAATAAAAAACTAAAGAAAGGCCCATGTTAAAACACAGTGTGAGGTAATTAATTCTAAAGAGGTGAGGAAAATGAGGGATTTGGAAAGACTTCAGTGAGAAGGTGACATCTGAGCTAGCCTTTCAGAATGAGTAATGTTACTCTAGCAAAGGGAGTGATGCCTGCAGAGGCTCTGAATTCAAGAAGGCGGGTGAGGAATGGTATTTTAAGGGGATTTTGAATGTGTCTCTACTCTTGCCCTGTAATTGGTGAATAGAACCTAATGTTGGGGGTAAAGAAGCATTAAGTTGCCTCCTGTTCTAAAGAAAGTTTTACAGCGAGGTTCAGACACCCATTCTAGTGCTAACTCAGAGGTAGGCAAGCCCTTACTACTTTTACTTTCTTAAAACCACCGACGCCACCCCAACATCCTTCCCAAGTCCATATACAGAAGACTAAAAAAACAGAAAAGAATAGAAAGGCAATGGTTGGAATCACTAGCCAAGGGCATAATGAAAAACACTATGGGACTATACACAGAAGAGACAGTGCTATAGACTGAATTGTTCCCCCACCAAATTCTTATGGTGAAGCCCTAACTTCGGTGTGATGGTATTTGGAGATCAGGCTTTGGAAATGTAATTAGAGTTAAATGAGGTCATAAGGGTGAGGCCCTCATGATGGGATTAGTGCCCCTATAAGAAG